AATGTGTAGGAGAGTGAATAGTGACTCCTTTTTGCCCCCTCGCCCGTGTATGAATGTAAACTCCATGATACCACTTGACCACCGCTGGACCCTCCCATCCTCGTTCGGTCTCTTACGCTCCGAACTACGAATACTAAAAATGTAACTTAATTATTTACGTTTGATTTTCTGCTCACCTTTATCATACCACGGATCATTGCATTATGCCACATGCCCTTGAGATTTTCCACGTTGATCTCGTAGTAATCTGACTTCGTTTTTACAGAGTCGAGCAGCGGCGGGGATTCGGAATTGCACAGTACTGTAACAATAAAATGTAAATCCCAACACTAGAACAAAAAAGTTGGACTGAATTTCCATAAAAAGCTCAGTATTCTATGAAATGAAAGGTTTGAATTCAGATGGACATGTCGCACCTCTCTGAATTAAGAGTAGCAACGTGTACCCTCTGCAAAGAACTGCCATCCATTCAATCCTGGAAATAATAACTATCGATTCGGATAAGTGGTAAAAAACTGCATAGCAGTACCAAAAGTAAAAGAGATCCTGGGTCGAATTGGCCACTACAAAATCAGCGCTGATTCTTTACACCGTATTTAGTAGAAGAAAGTAAGCTGCACAAGAAAGAAAGCTGGGCCCTGCACTCAAACCGAGTCACTCAAAGAATATGAAGACATTGAAAAGATTCAATACATTAATGCAAGTTTTCTAATACTGAGTCTGTGACATGCCATTTGGAAAACAACCTCTGTTGTGGCTCGGCCTGGGTAAAGAATTTTTGGTTGGTACATTCAAAAGAATATCTTTCCCTGGCACTCTCTGAAAATCGTGAGTCTCCTACAAACAATAAAGAGATTTAATCGAGAACTAGAAAATGAAGATGTGCAGCTTCGGCTGACAACACTCAAACCATATGTTGTCCATGTGGAAGACACCGCTGGACCGAAAAGGGAGGGCGAGGATAACAGAGGCTCAAGTTATAGGCCGCATAAACGGATTTGTAGAAAATACAGTGACGGTAGAGGTGTGACCGGATCCGCTTTCGATAGGACCTGTTATGCGAGTGGATTTGATGAAGTGCATTAGGTCTTTAGGTCAGCATTGCAGATTGATTACATGTAATAGTTGCACAAAAATATAGGATATTATCCAGGACAAAATATTGGGCAGGACATAAAGTATAGTAATGGGCTATAGTGAGATATATTCCAGAAATGTGTATTATTAGCATTGTTACCGAACATGTTCCTGAAATTATACTGTGTGAATCTAATCTTCAAAGGCGCTCTAGGGACTATTCTATGACCTTCAAATACGCACACTTTCTACTGTGCGTAAAGAATCGTCTGGGGATGACTAATATTAGGTAATTCTAATTGGAAGCCTGCGGTGAGGAACTTTTCACAGCAAAACCTCCACAAAGGTAGAGTCCTTGTAGACTAGTTTATCTCTCTCACACAGGAGAAAGAGAGAGATAAAACTCGTCCTACCAAGGACTCTAAACCTTTGGGAAGGGTTTGCTAGCTGAAAAGTTCCTCACCGCAGGCTTCCAATTAGAATTACCTAATATTAGTCATCCCCAGACGATTCTTTACGCACAGTAGAACAAGTGTGCATATTTTGAAGGTCATAGAATAGTCCCTAGAGCCCTTTGAAGATTAGATTCACACAGTATAATTTCAGGAACATGTTCGGTAACAATGCTAATAATACACATTTCTGGAATATATCTCACTATAGCCCATTACTATACTTTATGTCCTGCCCAATATTTTGTCCTGGATAATGTCCTCGATATTTTTGTGCAACTATTCACTTTTAATCACATCTGCAATGCTGACCTAAAGACCTAATGCACTTCATCAAATCCACTCGCATAACAGGTCCTATCGAAAGCGGATCCGGTCACACACCTCTACCGTCACTGTATTTTCTACAAATCCGTTTATGCGGCCTATAACTTGAGCCTCTGTTATCCTCGCCCTCCCTTTTCGGTCCAGCGGTGTCTTCCACATGGACAACATTGGTTTGAGTGTTGTCAGCCGAAGCTGCACAACTTCATTTTCTAGACTCTCGATTAAATCTCTTCATCGTTTGTAGGAGTCTCACGATTTTCAGAGAGTGCCAGGGAAAGATATTCTTTTGAATGTACCAACCAAAAAAATCTTTACCCAGGCAGAGCCACAACAGAGGTTGTTTTCCAAATGGCATGTCACAGTTCAGTATTAAAACTTGCATTAATGTTTTGAATCTTTTCAATGTTCTTCATATTCTTTGAGTGACTCGGTTAAGACAGGGGCCCACAGCTTCTATCTTTGTGCAAGGGCTTACTATCTTTCTACTGAAATACGGTGTAAAGAATCAGCGCTGATTTTGTAGTGGCCAATTCGACCCAGATCTCTTTTACTTTTTGCTACTGCTATGTAGTTTTTTACCACTTATTCGAATCGATAGTTACTATTTCCAGGATTGAATGGATGGCAGTTCTTTGCAGAGGGTACACGTTGCTACTCTTAATTCAGAGAGGTGCGACATGTCCATCTGAATTCAAACCTTTCATTTCATAGAATACTGAGCTTTTTATGGAAATTCAGTTCAACTTTTTTGTTCTAGTGATGGGATTTACATTTTATTGTTACAGTACTGTGCAATTCCGAATCCCCGCCGCTGCTCGACTCTGTAAAAACGAAGTCAGATTACTACGAGATCAACGTGGAAAATCTCAAGGGCATGTGGCAATATGCAATATCCCTGGTATGATAAAGTTACAGAAAACTCAACTAAAATAATAAATTACATTTTTTCCACGTATTCTATTTCGGGTTGTGGTTCTGTGCCAGGGAGGGCTTTTTTCATATTGTTGGTGTGTATGTCACCGTTTAGGGGTTTTTTTTTTCCGTAAGAGACCGAAACAAGAATAGAGGGTCCAGCGTGCGCCAGGTATAAAGGCGAAGGATTAAATTCATACACGGTGCATACGAGCAAAAAGGAGTCACTATTCACTCTCCTACACATTCGGAACGGAATAATTTACACTTTGCCATGTCTAAACTGGATAAGCTCCACTTGAAATTGTGGAACACATTCTAGTCTTTTGAAGAACAACAACATAACAGTCTTCGCATCATCAAGAATCTCCCACGGAAACCTGGAGCACGGGACGAGCTCAACGAGGTCGTCGACGGATCATCGACCATTGCGTCATCGGGATCGCTGGTCAAAAGCGATCTTGCAGAGTCACAGCTAGTGCTTCTGAGAACTCTATTCCCTTGGTTACCGATGTAAAATTATGTAATGCATTCTTCAACGCTGAGCGTTTACATATGCCTTCTTGACTCCACAGTGGTAAGATGACATATCATAAACTCTGAGACCATAGGCAAGAACAAAAGGTCCCCACACACGGAACATACTAGGGATTAAGATTTCTGTAAAACTTTCATCTTCATCAACACTTCATCAACCCTGTATGACAAAATGAAATTGATTTGCCATAGCCATTCCCTTTTGCTCCCCTGTACCATATTTTGCTCATAACATCTCATGCCGAACAATGTGATGTAATTAAATGGAAATCGTGTTGCCTGAAGCAGTGTGTCATCCGTGTCACTATATCAATTTGGATTAAAGCGTAATTTGATAGCGCGTCTGTCTCCTGTATATTAGTACTCGGTAGTGCTGTAGAAACCAAAATTCTCACATCGCAACTTATACCTTCATTATGTCACTCTCATAGAAAGGAAGCTTGCATATTTGAAGGATATAGAACAATCATTCCTGAAATTTCTCCTCTGATATGTTAGGAACCAGAGAGAGCGAAACGTTTCTTTCTTTCCAGCATACAGGGAGCATTGATCATCGGAAAATGCTTTACCCCTCTCCAAAATGAACAGAAAGCACATCAAAAACGTTTCAATCATTTTGTATTAGTCAGTACTATTAAGAGTTAGAGTTATAGAGTTGAAGAGAGTTATAATAGAGTTGAATAATTACTCGTGATCTACTCGTTCCGACATCACCCTGGATGAGGCGATTCTGTGCGCCCGCAGGTGATGGGCATCCAAAATGTCCCATGATTTCACGAAAGCAGAGAAGAAGCAATGCGCTCTTGTTGAAACTCTTTCGATGCAGGTGGTAATAATGAGTAAGCTCGACGACTTGGGTGAAAGCTACGCTCTCCACAGAGAGAAGAGTTCCCAATTGTTCTCCACATATTCTTGCAGAAGTATTTTTACCTCAACTGAAAGTTTCCGCATAACCCTGAAACCTTTGATCGGAAATATCTTTTTTGATTGAATTTGGACGTGATGACTTGTCTCTTTACAAGGGAACGAGGTACCCCACAGGATGCCTGTTGCGCGGCAAGAAGGCAAGAGTCAGCGGACGAGTCGCGCGCGCACTGTAGGGATTTCGCGTCAAGTTAAATAGAATGTCCCACTGCACGTCCTACATCGCACATCACGCGCTGCAACTCGTCCGACGACTCTGCCTTCTTGCCGCGCGACGGCCCTGTCAGGTACAAGATAAGCAGCGACACCGAATAGATGATACCAGTGTGAGCAGAGCTACTACATATGTACCACTGAGCGAAATATATTCATCATCTCGAGCGAAAGAAAAGCAGAACAGAACGAAAAAGCGGGAATCATAACGAGAAACAGTTCCTTGCATTTTCAAAAGGAAAAAGGAAGATTCTGTTGTCCCCCACGATTCATTGTTTTTCTAGAAGTTGCGGAAAAGTCTATGACTACAAGTGCTTCTGTCCTGTATTCGTCAGTATTTCTATACAAAAGGCCACAGCAATAATGGTTTCAATTTTCTATCTGGAACCATGAAATTCATCCTGGTGTATGTTTTGTTCTTAAACTATTAAGAGGCCGCTCAAAGGCAGTGTATGCGACAACTTGAAGTTTGTACGGTTTTGATGACACGCTTAAGTTTCATTGGAAGATCTTTAGGAGGTGGTGTCAAACACACCCCCGACAGCATCTGCACCAATTATGGCTAAGGTGTCATCGGTGGGAGAGCTGCTTTGCCTTTCATGGTCAGACATTGCACCCATTCCCTTTAAATAACCCTGTGGTCGCACCATGAGATTATGTGAAAGCGAATTGGCTACTGTTAGACTTTACTAGTTACCGAATTATCGTTTGAATTTCAGGCACGAGCGAAGGAGTTGCTAGCGAATCTTCCAAAAATAGAAAAGATTGTCTACAACCAATGTGTGAGAGATTCCAAGTCCACCGTAGCTCTGGCGAAGTGTGCTGTTCGAGTTTTTGATGCCAGGGACAACGCCAAGATGAAAGCTGAGGAAGAGGCGAAACGAGAGAAGAAGACCAAAGCCGTCATTTCCATCAAAGCTCAGCGCAAATCTCCTCTTCCCATGTACAAAACGGGAGAGGGAGGTGAAGTTCGAAACGAAAAAGAAAAGGTGCTCCCAAAGTATCGTTTCTTTGCGAGAAAATCGCACCCATATCGCAATCCGATTCGGCCCCAACTTCGAAACAGGCTTTCCCGCTTGAAGAAGCCAGCAAATCACGTAGAGAAAAAGTACTCAACCAAGGATTCGTTGTTGAAAGATTCGCTTGTTGCCAAGGAGAATCCCAACGTTATCCCAATGATTGTCGAAAGTCGGATGAGAGTGAAGAGGAAAATTGAAAACGGTTTGTTTTTCTGTCATTTATGTTAAGTATGGCACTACATTTCACCTCCTTAAGGGCCTTACAATTGTTAGAATAGCAATTTGTTGTGCCTCAAAAATTAAATCACAATTCAGACATGAGCATCGCTAGACCGTCACTCAATCTACGAGAAATAGCTTTGAAATATATCAAGAAAATGCTGGGTGAGCTTCGTTTCATACATTGCAGTTAGCATTATGTTATCATGGCAGATATGCATTTGAGGACGATCTGTATATGACGATTTCCACTTAGTGTCATGTG